AAATGTCTGTGGTCTCTTTTATTTCATTGTTCTAGGAACTCAGTGGGATCTTGTAATCAGGAAATCCTCATGTTGTTTGGTTCTAGGAAACAACCTTTCATAATTTCTTCATTTTATTTATCTATGTTTCTACTCCTTTCCGTACTTTGGCCCTAATGGTTCTACTTTCTCAAGATTTCCTCTACTTTGTCTTCTAACCTTCCTACTGAAGGATTTTTTTTAAATGTTAATTTTAAATTTCTGCTGTCATATTTTTTAGTTAAAAAGTGTTTTTTGGGTGTGGGTTTTTTTGGAATTTTCTTAAAAAAGGCACCCTATTCTAATTTAATGACTCCCTTATCTTCTCTTTCCTTTCTGAGGATATTGGCAAGTATTTTATAGTTTTCTTCTGCTCTAAGCAGTGCTTTTATTTCTCCAAGTTCCCTTCCTCATTTGCTTTTTGTGCGTCTTTGTCTTTCATGTTAGAGAAGTTCTTCCAACGTCTGGTGATCCTTGGATATCCAGGTATATTTAACAGTGTCACAAAAAGCCCATGCATGGCAGTAACCTTTACCGTGGGGTGATCTGGTGGGGACCCAGGTGCTATGCTTGGAAACCCCCAAACATGAGTATCTGTAGGTATCGTCTCTTGGTCCTGTTTTCTCAGAAAGGACTATCCCACCCTCTGCTGGGGCCTGGGGTCGGGTGGGTTCTAAGTTTGACAGCTAAGAACTCTAAGGCATTCTGAGTCTCACCGCCTCACAGACCCTACGCTCCATTAGGCTCTTCATCGCCACTTTCAGCTGTGGCTTGTCTCCAGTTCCAGCGCTTCCCTGGATCAACCTTTCCTTAGAGTATCTCCCATCTTCCGTGGGCTGGGGAAGGAGTGGTAGCCGGGCTACACAAGCTGGACAATGGATGGGCTCTAACCTCGCCTATGAGAGACTTTCAAACAATCCTTATTTCCCAGCCATACTCCTGCCATCAGAGGTATCTGGTGTATCAAACTCCCAAGCCTTTCTTGGGGGTCCATAGCACAAATCCTTACAGACACTCAGAGAGTAGAGGAAACAGAAACCTATCAGTGTATTTGTCAGGATGGATCAGGCTATGCTATGGAACAAACCACCAAATCCCCAGGGTTGATTCCTCTCTCACCCTGTGTGTCCACAAGGTCAGCAGGGAGCCCTGCTCATCACGGTCACTGGGGACCCATGCTGACAGAGGTTCTGAGTCTTGTGACAGGAGGCTTCAGAACTATGCTCTTCGCTGCTCGTTGCTCCTATTTCATGGGCCATGCCTAACTTCTAGGGGACAGGGAAGTGTGGTGCAGTCCTCCCTGTGCTCGGAATAGGAGGACAACTGGAAATTCTGGGGAACACTCCTGTCCACCAGAGCCAGTCACCACTTTCGTGTTCCAAAATTCTGTGGTTTTCGACTGCTGCTGTTTCCTCTGTCTCTTGGTGCTTGCGGCTTTATATATTTTTATTATTTCATTGTCTTTTTAGTGGAGCTTTAAGAGGGAGCAGAAATAAACACCATTTAGAGCTGCAGAACACACCAAAGTAGCCAACACCCTCCAATTAACACTGTGTGCTGCTACCATCCATCTTTCTGATCCTTCCAGGACTCTGGTCTCTACTGGGACAGATGACTTTGTTGCCTGAAAAGAGATCAGTAGGCTGTGGACCTTTTCAGACCTGGTCACTCATTAACAATATTTTTCAAGAAGGGGGTTGGGAGGTAGTTTTCAAACACACATCTGGGAAACAGAAAGTCTTTACTAGAAGCAAAGCACTAATAAGCATTTTTAAAAATTTTAGAAAGCAATTATTTTCCCTCAGTGCTGAACATTCTAGTACGTGTTCAGTAAGTTCTCACTAATGAGCAAACCTATCTTCACTTTCTGTATAAGTCATCAGCAAGCAAATGACAGTTTGCTCCAAGTGAAGAGAAAAATGCTCAGGTTCCAAGGGAATTAAAAGTAGTGTTAAAAGAAAACTGAGCTATGAGCAGTCATCCCTGTTTTTTATGTGCCTCACTACAGTTTCTGGTCATGCCAATTTGAGAATGCACTGCTTTTAGAAAAAGAATTGTGGGGCTATTTCTCCAGATCCACTGACCATAACCACAGCAGGGCAGGCTCTTTTGTTAAAACCATACCTGTGCTAATAAAAGTTAGTTAAGTCTCAAATCCATAGATATTACATGGGGAAACTGCCCAGGGGATACATTTTTTTCCCCTTTAAATCAATGATTCTTAATCTTTTATACGCTTAAGAATCGTGGGGAGAATTTACAAAACAAAATAAAACAAAGCCAGAAAACAAACAAAAAAACTAAGATCCCAGATCACTGGGCCCCACTTAGGTAATCTGATTTGGAAAGGAAAGGCAGTAATTTGTATTTTTAACAAGTACCTCCCAGACTGACTTCAGACCACACTCTTTTTAATAGTGCTTTTCATTTTCTACATGGACTGAGCATTCAGTAAATATTTTTTGATGCTTAGGTAGAAATTAACAAAATGTATATATTCTTACTCCCCCCCAATGATTACCACCAAAGAGGTAGCAAATGAAGGTCTTTCCTACAAATACGGCATGACAGATAAAATACAACCCACAACTGGCTGAAAACTGAATGGCAGAATACTTTAAAGCACAGGTTTTTGGTTTTGCTTGGTATTAACTATTCATAACCCGGTAAGCTCTACTCACCAATTTCTCAGCATCAAGCCGAATTTCTGATAGTATGGGTTTCTAAAGCATTATCCAATATTCTACAATTCTATTTTTGGAATGACACATCGTGGGAGAGGGATAAGTTGTTGTCTTAGTATAAATGAATAAATGAATGAAAGCAAGCCCCCTGCCCTAGTGCAGGCTGTGCTGCGGGTTCATCCTGAGCTTGCAGAGCTAGTCATTTCAAGGAGCTGGTGTACATTGAGAAAGTTGAAGGAAGAGGCCAGCATCTGGACTTAGTGCTCCCGCAGCTTTTTCCAGATTTCTAAAAGAATGCAGAACCCGGCCTCTTGCCAGCTCCCTACTTTTGAAAACCTTCTCCATTCCCACTTCATTTGCAAAAATTTGTGGGTTCACTGTGATGCTGCAATCCCTCCCTCCTAGCCTGGAGGAATCTGGAAACAGCTGGAGGTCAAGGGAAAGTCTAATGTCAGCACACCTGTTTCAAACCTTTTGGATGTGAAGTCTGGAAAACAGAAGAGACACAGACCATCCTGGAACTAACTGACCCAATGCTGCCCCTTGCTGGGGAGCACACAGATCCTTTCCGGCAGTTTCCACCTTTCCTTAAAGGTGCCAGAGATTTAATCAGCCAACAGCAAATGTTGAGTGTTACTAAAAGAGGAGGTGAGCAATACCTCTCTGACCTGCACAGCCCTTTTGGTATAAGTAAAATGAACAGCTTCTAATAATGGTTTCTCACCCCAAAAGATATACTGAGAAATAGCCTAGTGCAATCATAAAATGAAGAATTAAATGAAATTGAATTTAACCTCCTGACCCTTCCTTTACTCCAAGCTCCCATTTTAAATGAAACTGCTTAAAAATTTTTCAAGAGAATGGAAAGTGAGAGTCGGAGCAGAAAGAGAATCTTTATAGCTAGGCAGTGGGGCAAAGGTTAGTCTTGATGTATTTTGAAGAGATTGTGACACCGAAGCTTGCCAGGTTATCAAATTTCTTAGGTATTTCAAAAATGAAAAATAGAATGTTGACAGGGACAGCAATAGCTTTCTGTAGCTTTTCACAAAGAAGCACAATTCAGTTTAAAACCAAAAACATGTCTTTTATGATGCGAGAAGGACACCCTGGCACCTTAAATTAAGCACTTACTGAAAGCCACAGTGAGGCACAGGTGGGTGAAACACTGCAGAAACTCCTGGCAGAAAAGGGCTTCAAAATATTTCCTCCAAAAATGCCACACTCTCTGTCCCAAACCTGTCAGCTGTTACTTTAAACCAGGGGTTCTCAAACTGTGGTCCTGGGACCAGCAGCATCAGCATCACCTGGGAACTTGTTAGTAACAATGTCAAACTTCACCTGAGCCCTGTGATCCCAGAAAACAGCAAAAGTTAAGGGCCCCTCACCCTTTACTGTTTTGGAAACAGCTTACTGCAAAGAACCTCCCTCCCCATATGACTTAGGTAAGACTCATAGGTGCCTGCTAGTTTACCTATGACAAAGCCAGGCACTGACCCTCCAAATTCCCATTCTTTACCTGACAAACGGTTGGCTGAATTTGGATTAATCAGGACAAAATGCTTGTTAACCAATCTTTGGTTAAGCTTCTCTCCTTTCTCCAGGCCCTTGAACTCTGGCTAGTCTACAAGCCCTCCTCAGCAGCCCCTCCTGACAAGAGGCTGGTCTCAGGTTAAAACATTTTCTCATCTGCAATGCATTCAAGCCATGCTTTCTTCCCACTTCCTCCTACCTGTCCTTTCTAGCCTTGTTTACTCCTCCCTATAAAAAGAAACCCCTTATTGCCTGACCCTAAAGACTCCTGCAGGTCTTAGAATCAGAGATGGTCCTATTGCTAGTCCTCCCTCCCCAGTCCCCCATTACAATGGCACTTTGCTCCCTTTTGCAATAATCCTTTCCAATAGAGTCTCTCTTTATTTAATCAGGACTTGTTCTTTTATTTGACGTTAGGAATACAAACTCTCAGGCCCCACCCCAAACCTTCTACTTGAGAAAGGAGGTAGGGAGGGCGTGGGTGGGGCTGGGGGTGGGGGGCTGCGTCTAGAAATCCATTTCAAAGTGCTCTAGGAGCAGTTTGAGAACCCCAGATTCACAGCAATGCCTCTGGGGTCTGATAAGCCGCCTGGGTTTCACTCGCGCCTAAGTGCAAGCTATTTCTGAGGCTTACTTACAGCGGGCGCATGTTTAGCAACCCCACAGACCCTCTATACCCTAAAGTCATTTCCCAGTGACAAGCACGGCCGCACAGCACTCGCCTCCCCTCTGGTCGCGCCGAGCACGCCTGAACCCGCAGGTACTTACATCTCCTTCCCCAGGCCTCTGGTCATCGCAATCTCTGGTGGGGCTAATGTCCTGGCGCATGACCCAGATGGGCTCTTTGGGCTCGTCGGGGGTGTAAGGCGAACGGATGGTCCTGGTTTTCACCTCCTCGATGGCCTCCTTGATGTCCTTGATGGCCAGCGAGATAGCATCCCTCTTCTCCTTGCTGTACCGCTGCACCGCCTCGCCGCCCGCGGGGCCCACGGCCCGCTGCTGCCCAG